GTTGTTGTTATTATTATATTGTATAGTATATATATATATATATATATATATATAAGCATGAATATATATATATATATATGGATGTGTGTGTGTGTGCATTTTGTTTGTGCGCACGCGTGTGTGCATTTTACTGAATGTATAAATGTGCTTGTATATATGAATATCCATACTTAAATATAATATGTGCTTGTATTAATGTGGGTTTGTGTATTTGCGTTTTGGGAGCATTCTTGTGTGTGAAAGATAAAGAAAGTGTGGTGTCATGGGTATAAATAATTTTATTTCATTCTACTAGTAAATATGGTCGTTGATTTAAACCACGAGATATTTCGTAAGGTAGTTTTCCGGTTCTGTAATCTAACCCGAATTGCAATCTTATTTCTTTCTGAAATATAGGTACAAAGTTCCCATTGAATACCCAGATCGGCTTAGTATCGGCGTGCGTGTCCAGAGTATGACAGACACGCAAATGATTTTCGAGTACTGTGTCAAGAGCCTGAAGAAGGGGGTCGTGGCTGCTACTGGTACAAGTAAAATAGTTAATTTGGACTACAAATCGGGGAAGAGGGCGATAATATGTGATGAACTACGAGCGAGCATTGCAAGCCTCGAGGGGAAGTCCCTGGACGTGCTAGAGAGCTTACCTGCGAAAATAAACTAGAGAACAGTACTCTGCAAATCATTACAACCAGAGTATGCTTTCAGAACTGTACTTTTAAACATGCGATAATATGTGTTGTAAACAGTAAGACTTAAGTTTGACATTGATATTGATGTCAGTAGGATCGTAAATTGCACCGCTTATGATGCTAGTTGCGCTGTGATATGACTCCGCTATTGACAATTCTTGCCAAATAAATCCCATGGCTAGCGATAAATTTTAATCAAACACGGAGGCGTGCAGAAGGTTCAGTGTGCTAGATTTATTCACATCGCTAACATGCCGGGCATAGCCACTAATAATCCAGTAGGGTGCAGCACTCAAGCGCAGTACATTTTGGCCAAGGCCCACAGCGATAAAGTTTCCTGCAGCATCCGGTTTCCTGATCAAGGTATTTCCCATCTAGGTCGTCACAATTGTTGTCAACGCTTTCATTATGCCACATCTCACATGTCATGTAGTTGTCATTGGGGAAGGGTTTTGTTGTTGGTATAGGGTGATCGGGTCCGATGGTGATCGCACATGACTTTCTGAGCGCGTCGTAGTACTCTGCACCGGCTGTGCTATCTCGTGCTTCATCACACATACTGTACACGTACTGCTCCAGTTGCTCTTCACATTTCTTCTGCTCCTCCTGGTTGCATATAGAAATCGTCAACTTCTCATCGCCCAACGCTGTACTGAGAGCTGTAGTGCCGCAGAAACTCATTGCTAGCCGGTTACCGTGTGCAAACCCGTAGCCCTTGCACTGTTCTGTGCACTTCCGGAGATCAATGTTATAGAGCTCCGCCACGCGAGCGTTGTACTCTTCTCGGCCGCATTTCTTCGAAGGACACTGAAAATTCGCGACCTCCAGCACGGTGTCGAGCATGCCACAAGTAGAGCCGTAGACTTCCAATGCGGCATCCCATTTTTTGTTCGCTGAGGAGCGGCCCGTGCCATCGCAAGCTGGTGTGGGTGAAACTACAGGCGACGATGTTACAGCAGGCGTTTCTTCTGAACATTCACAACCGCACTTCATCTTGCGCTCCTCGTATTTGTCCTCCAGCCCATCTAAGAACCCGTCTACCAGGCATTCGGGTGTTCTTGGGCATGCTTTGTTTACTTGTGATTTGACGTAGTCTAGTTTTCGACAGTCGTCTGTGTACCGCCAGGCTGCATTCCACTGCATACGAACCTGTTGTACTCCAGCATCATATGAAGCCATGTCCGCACAAGATGTTACTTCATACTCATACGCGTAAGTACTGCAGGTAGCAATGCTCACAACACTCCAAAAGGTTGCGCGAGAGACAAACATAACTGTCTACTTTTGTATCTGGATGCCAAGTTTGATATACGCATTCAGGTATGAGAAATTTAACCTAAAGGCATGCATATTTGTACGTCTTACACAAAGAAGCAAAGACGGCGAGCTTCCCCAAAATCTACTACGCTCTCTAATAATACTACCTATATTTACTCAACTCCATTCCAATGGGTGAGGGGCACCTAGGATGTATCCCTGAATGCCTATGGTTCAAGTCCCACGGTACATATTTTCATTAAAAACTCTCGTAGATGGGGAGAGCCCGCACCCGGAGAGGATTGTCAGCTACTTCAGTACGCTAGCGCGCGGCTACAGATGTTAAGTCTCACACACAGGCGTCATCAACCGTCTGCTGCGTGAAAGTAAATTTTCAAAAAATGCTTTTGGAATTTCGCCACAGATTTGAAATCTGTCGGCCAACAGTTTATGTTCTGTTATCAGTTTATTATTATTCAGGTGCATTTTTCATTTCCATTGTCACAGCTTCCAATTTTCGACAGCGCGCTCATAAAATTTAAAACCCGTGTTCGACACTGCCAACGAGCACACTGCACTACAGACACTTGGATGTGACCATCGATCATCGATCATGAATCGCAATCATTGATACGTGCAACCTTCCAATCGGTAATGAGTTTAACCCTGTATTCACTCCCGTGACCTCCGGGCGATTAAAAAAGCGCCCGCCTATGTATGAACTGCACGCGGGTACCTACTGTGTGCAGGGTGCTCAGCTCATATGTATTTTGTTTCATTCATCGAACACCAGAATCTGATCATTGCTGCGGTTTAAACATATGAAGCGACAAGCGATATACTATTTCTCTGAACATCGATATACATGTGTAATACGAAAGTATCTGTCTTCTCTAAATTGCCGTGTTTTAATCGTATGGTGTAATCTAACGTGTTCTTATCTGCCGAATTATTTGTGGTATGAAAATGCCATACCGTTGAGCAACAGAAATATTGAAATATAAATTTATGACGGCAGACTGTCGAGCAACATAGCTCGAGTGAATGAATACAAGGAGTCAACGAAGCGTTCGCTCTAACTAAATGTCGATCATTATGAATTCCCTGCGCCCGTGTTCGCAGTCATCAACACGATGTTCTATCAATGGTAGTGCCCTGAGCGGCAACAGCTTCATGTCTTATCACCTAGCATTGGTACCCTATGGTGTAGAATTTGTTGCGCTGCTACTAGAGTAATTAATATCGTACAGGACTATAACATCGTGTGAACTGGGTCAACTTAGAACTTTGCATAGCGCGGCCTGACCTTGTTGCCCAACACCACTGTGATCCGATCTTGTCTCTCCAGATCTTGGGCGAGTTTTATCCTCGCTATTTCCAATTGATGTACGCGATATCTAACTTCAACATGCAAATAACATTAGAAATATATGTACTGCCCTGAGGTGTTGGGGCCCACCAGTTATACGGCAGAACAGATGTACACAAACCATAATCCTTGGTACTGGATTTAGAGATGATCTTGCTCCTTATTTTCTGAAACCCAGTCTGCATCCTCCACCGATTCCAGGCTGCTATTTTGGTTGGTCATATTCAATTTGTAAACTATGCGTTATACTGATGTCGAAATTCAAGCGAGTACGACTGGATAAATCGGATGCACGCTGCATCTATTCTCCTCATGGTTACTAAACATGAAACTAGTCTGCATTCTTTCGTCACTACTAAAAAAATTCTTTTGATTATGATGTAGAGCGCGACAACTCGTGATCGATGATGTGTAGAAACATTTATTTCATCATCTTCGTGAGTCCAGCAGATATTGGTGCCCGCCAAACAGATGCCACATGCATGCTACAATAT